TGAAGATCATAAACTATGGATAACGTTGCAAAGAATGGGAATTCCAGAACACTTAGTTGTGTTCATAGGGAACCTGTACGTAGACCAATAGTCAGTCATTCCAATAGAACAAGAAGATAATTAATGATTTAAAATCAGAAAAGGTGTGTACCAGGGCTGTATCCTTTCACCATACTTATTCAACCTGTATGCTGAGCAAATAATACGAGAAGTTGGGTTCTATGAAGAAACATGTGGCATCAGGATTGGAGGAAGACTCATTAACAACCGGCGATATGCAGATGATACAACCTTGCTTGCTGAAAGTGAAAAGGACTTAAATACTTACCAATGAAGATCAAAGACCACAGCCTTCAGTATGGATTGCATCTCAATGTAAAGAAAACAAAAATTCTTACCACTGGACCAATAAATAACATCATGATAAATGGAGAAAAGATTGAAGTTGCCAAAGACTTCATTTTGCTTGAACATACTGAATTAAGCAAATTCTTGAAGTGTTAAAGAATAAAGATATCAGTTTGAGAATGAAGGTATGCCTGACCCAAGCCATGGTGTTTTCAATTGCCTCATATGCTCGGGAAAGTTGGACGATGAATAAAGTTGGAAGAATCAATGCATTTGAATTATGGTATTGGAGACTATTACAAGTACCATGAACTACCAGAAGAATAACAAATCAAATTGGTGTTGGAAAAAGCACAGCCAGTATGAGAAGCCAGGGTGCCTAGACTTTGTCTTCATACCTCAGACATGTTATTAGGAAGGACAGTTCCTGGAGGACAACATGTTTGGTAAAACGGAGGGTTTGGAAAAAAGGAAGACACCCCCTCCCACCCCCAATGAAATGGATTGAGAATCTCGTTGGTAACAACAATGGGCTCAAATGTAGTAATTGTGAAAATGGCTCAGGACCAGGCAGTGTTTTGTTCTGTTGTACATAGTATTACTATGAGATGGAACCAACTCAACAGCACTTAGCAACCTGTGTCGTCTTCATGAGCCTTGGTAGCATAGTGGGTTACCTGTTGGGCTGTTAACTGCAAAGCTAGCAGTTTGAATCTACCAGCAGCTTCTTGGAAGAAAGACAAGGCTTTCTGCTCCCCTAGTGCTGTGGGTTAATGCGTTGGACTGCAAAGTCAGTTCGAACCACAAAGTTGGCGGTTCAAGTTCACTAGCTGCTCCTTGGAAACTCTATACAGGGTTACTATGGGTTGGAGCTGACTTTAAAAAAAAAAAAAAGATTTATAGTCTTGGAAATTCCACACAGGGTTGCTGCGAGTTGAAATCAACTCAATAGCAGTGGATTTATATTGTCTTCATTGTCACCATTACAATGCATTTATGTGATTCAATTGAACAGATATAATAATGCCTTTCTCTGATGTTGAATATTTATGGTATTTTCAGTTTTAAAACAGAAAGTAAAATATTGTTCCTAAGAAATAAATAATCATGGTGTGGTGTTGTGTGTTAATGCGCCAGACTGAGAAGTTGTTTGAACTGTAAGGTCGGCAGTTCAAGCTCATCAGTCACTCCTTGGAAACCCTATGCAGGGTAGCTATGGGTCAGAACTGCTTCGACAGCACTTAACAACAACATTTAACATTTAGATTTAACAACATTTAACAACAACTTAACATTTAGAAATGAAGAGCAAAAAAACAAAGAATTAAATGCTGACTCAATCAGTATTAGTATACTTTAATGATCTTTGAAAAAATTAAACATTTTTCTATACATATTATGAATGAATCAGTAGCCCTGGCATGGGTGACCCTTGCCTGAGGCAGAGAGATGGCCCAGATCACTTTAGTGAAGTCCTGTGGTCTCAGTTCTGTGATTCTCCAAGCAAACGAGCTGCATCAGCTTTCCTGCCCTACTGCTAGAGAACCTCTGATACAGCAGAGCTCAGAGCCAGCCCAGCATTTTTCAGATATCACTTGGCCATATCTGGTAGGGCAACTGTCAGACCATGTCACCTGATGGGGAAGTTATGGAGCAAGGCTTCTCCTCCAGTTCTTTAATCAACAAGACTTAAGGTTAGCACTGGTAAAGATGAACCCACCTAGACTGAACATTGGTTTCGTAACAATAGTCTCTTCAATTCTCAGCCAATTAAATGAGATAGGACTTATTGGTCCCATTTTATAGGTGAGGAAACTGAGGCTCAGACAGGTGAAAGATTTCCTCCAAGGACACAGCTGGTAGAGTCATGGCTTACACCCGTCTGACTCTAAACTCAAGCTCTTCCCCTAGCACCAGTCTCTTTTTAATCTAATTCAAGGTAACCAGCATGGATTAGCACCCACATACATGACTATTATTTCTGGCGTAGTGGTTACGAATCAGGCTGCGAACCTTAAGGTCAGCGGTTCGAAACTACCAGCCGCTCCGTGGGAGACAGATGAGGCTTTCTACTCCCGTAAAGATTTACACGCTCGGAAACCCTGTACAGGGTCGCCATGGGTCGGAAACGACTCGACGGCACTTAACTACAACAACAACATGTTCTGGGAACACTCCAACATGAGAATCAGACTCATACATGACAATTTCTAGGCTGATGCATAATGGCGAGAAGTAATAAAATCATGTGGGCAGTTCAATTTATCTCATTGTATGTATTTCTGAAATCCATCCTTAATTCTTTTAGGAAGAGGGAAGGGGAAAGATGGATTGATCAGGGCTATGATCAATGAACAAACAAAGGGAGTGGGAAAATGTGGAGGAAGAGATTAATTTCACTTAGTTCTCCAGGGGATTCTCACACATATTAAAGTTTGAGAACAGCAACAACAACAACAACAATTCAGGAAAATTTCTAAGAGGATGTCGCTAAGAGGAATCAGAGATTTAGGGAAGAGGCATGACCAAAGATCCCCTTCCCTAAGGGAAGTAAAAATAGAATCTTGATTGTTGTTGTGTGCCCCGTTGAGTCGGTTCTGATTCATTGTTGTTGTTGTTAAGTGCCTTTGAGTCGGTTCCGACCCATAGCGACCCTGTACAGGGTTTCCGAGGGTGTAAATCCTTACGGGAGTAGAAAGCCTCATCTTTCTCCCGCGGAGCGGCTGGTAGTTTCGAACCGCTGACCTTAAGGTTCACAGCCCAATTCGTAACCACTACGCTACCAGTCATATAGGCTTTCTGAGGAGCAGCTGCTGAGTTTGAACTGCCGACCTTGAGGTTCAAACCAACCTTGAGGTCAAGTGCTTATTCTATGGAGCCACACCAGAACTCCAGAATCTTGATTAGTGCTTGCTAAATATTGACCTTGAAACCAACAAACACGCTCTCATTCTTATCCTCCTTTATATTCATAGACAAATATACCAAGACACACCCATTACCATATCCATAAAGGCAAAAGCATACAGAAAATATACATGACCTATACACGTACATTGATACTTAAAAACAAGAACACATAAATCGATACTGCCATACTTATACAAATACATATAATATGCATACACACACTCACATAAGTATGATTATGATTTCATAGAGAAGCACATACATATTTCTATACCCACATTACTTATGCTTGTAAATAAATGCATATTTTTATTAACATAGTCACAGATTCACACGTAAATCTTGTTCTGCCCTTCTGGTTGGAGGGCAGACACAAAGGCAAGCATCCTGCTGGGGTGGAAAGAATTGGGTTGGCAGTGGGGCAGGGATTATGCTCGGTCAGATGACAAACCCGCTTCGCTTGACTCCCCTTGGAAGCTGCTGATCAGAGGCAGCAGCACCTGACCAAGCTCTGTATCCTGGGCCCATGGGGAGAATTCCAGATTCATCCAAGGCTTAATGTCATTCAGGGTCGCGTCTTGCTATCAACCCCACCCCAATCCCTGGTACAGGCAGGCGGCTCAGGGGACACAGCAGGCTGTTGCTTGGAGCTGCTTTCTAACCTTAGACTTGTCCTGACACCGTACACCGAGAGTTGTTAACATTAATGAGGATGTACTGCGGGCTGGGTACCGGCCTAAACCCTTCACGTACTGTACTTTGTTACTTAATTCTCACAAGGGCTCTGTCCTATCACCACCATTTTACAGGTGAAAAAACTGTTACGGATACAAGACCATTCACCAAAGACCCTTCAGATCCTATTCTCCTGCAAGGGTTTAGGATAACGTGTGAGTGTGGATCTGTCTCCCCCACGCAGGAAGCTTGCACCTTCGGCTCCAGTCTGCGCCTGGCGCACAGCAGGTGCCTGGTGAGGGCGTTGGTTACGGCTCAGTGAGGCCCTCAACAAGGGACTCAGTTTCCGCATCTTGGAAATGAAAACGGCAGGGCGCACTTCCCGGGGCCGCAGCCTGGTTTCCTCGGACAACGGAGGGGAAAGCTTCGCTCAACATCCTAGCTACTGCCGCCCTCGCCCATCGCTGGGGCTCCGGCCCAGTCCCCGCCCAAGTCGGGGTGAGGCGCCGGCGCCCCATTGTTCAGGAAGGAGGGGAGGCTCCCGAGAGCAGATTCCCCGCCCCGGGTCGCGCTCGCCGCCCAGTGGAGCAGATGACTTGGCCCGGCGTCTGCCGCGCTAGGCGCGTCCTTTGTCTACTCCGCGGCGCCCGGTGCCTGAGGCCCGCGCCCCGCTACTCCGGCAGACAAAGCCGCGGCCGCAGCAAGCCAAGCTGACTGAAGCAGGGCTCGCACCACCCTCCTCCCGCTTTACGCACCGCCCCCCTCTCCGGCGCCTTCTGATTGGCCTGTGGGGCTACAAAGAGGTCGGGAAGCGGGTGGATCACGTGGGATAGCGTGGTCTCTAATTGGTCGAGAGCGGCTGCCAATCGGGGAGGGCGGGCTGTCCCCTCACTGCCCGGTCGCTTTTTCTGTGTTGGGGCCCGCCCGCGGGGCCGGCCGCCTGTCAGAGGGAGGTGGCGATGGTTCGCCGGGTGGCGGCGGCGGCTGCGGCGGGTTCGCGGGTTGGAGTGCAGGGAGGAGAAGATGACTGACCAACCTACTGACTGACTGAATGAATGAATGAATGAATGAATGGCGGAGCCACGCGCGCCATGAGGAGCCTGCCGAGCCTGGGCGGCCTCGCCCTGTTGTGCTGCGCCGCTGCCGCCGCCGCAGCCGCGGTCTTAACCACCTCGCCGGGGAATGTCACCGGTGGCGGCGGGGCCGCGGGGCAGGTGGACGCGTCGCCGGGCCCAGGGCTACGGGACGAGCCTACTCACCCCTTCTTTAACGCCACGGCTCAGGCTCCCACCGTCCAGGCCCAGAGGACCGGACCCCAGCGTACTACCGTCCACGGACCCCTGGCTGCGACCTCTGCAGCCCAGTCTCCGGAGACCACCCCTCGGGCGACGGCCGGATCCAATCCGACCACCTTCCAGGCTCCTCCCGGCTCGTCGCCGACCACCCCGCGGGCGGTGGAACCAACGCCGACCCACCCTCGGTCTTCTACCAGACCCGCGGCGACCACCCTCTCGGCCACCACTGGCCCGGCGCCGACCACCCCTGTAGCGACCACTTCTCCGGCGCCCACCGCGCTCCAGACCCCGACCTCCGTTCTCCCCGGCAGCAGCAGCGTCCCGCCCACCCCACCTGCCACCGAGGTCCCTTCTCGGCCCCCAGGTAAGTCCCTGTGCTACTTCAGCGTCAGAACCCTTTCCAGCCGTTCGCATCCTCGCCCCAGCTCCCGGCACTTGGGGGTGGGCGCTTGGCTGGATCGTGCCGTTTCTTGCTCCAGAGGTTCCCCAGAATTCGCCTCCCTAGCTCCAGCTCGCCTCCTTCCCCTCCCCCTTCAACCTGGAAAGTCTTTTGTCCCCCCTGGGCTGTGCTTCTTCGGGAGGGGACGGTTGCGGAGTGGAAGGCATCCTCGTCTCCTTCCAAACTGGGCTTTCTGGCCTTTGTCAGAGACCCTGAATGGGCGCAAACTTTTGCGGAAGTTTGAAAGCCAGCACAGTACCTCCTTCAACCAATGGGTCCAAAACCGAGTAGAAAGGATTCCTTCCAAAGCTCCAATTTCCTTGTTCGTTTCTCCTTGTTTGTGTAAATATCAGTGGTGCAAGTGACAGGTGGAGAAGATAATGAAAGGAGTTTGTTTATAAACAGTAGTACAGACCACTTGAAGCCCCAAAAGAAAAAAGACTTGATAGTAATCCATGTTTCCCCTGCAAATACGTGGATTCGGTAGACCATTTGGGACAGGTGTGTATCTAGGTTGAGCACACTTGTAAATTAGGTTAAACCCCTTTCTTGTACCATTTCTACCCCCTCCTCAAACACAAGGTCAATGTTTGGACAAACAGTTTAAGCAGGGTTGCCCATCTCTCTCCCCTTAAGCTAGAGTGTTGTATTTTGCTGATGCTGATAAATGACAGTTTCTGTGTGGATCAATATACGTAATAAGGCCCTTTCTTCCTGCTGGTTGTCTTTATACAGCATTGGAGATAACTCTTATTCTTTGCCCTTTTAGATCTGAATTGGGCCCGGAACTGAACAGAATCTACTTTCTCAAAACATTAGGCAAGAGTTTCTGAATGTCTTTACGTTGGAGTGGAGATTTGCCCACACGATTTGTCTATCTGTACTTACTGTAATGGGTCTCTGACCTAATTCTTAGGCTCAGTGTTTACTGGAGAGTCGGGAATGGACTTTGGACTATGATTGAGTTTGTAGAGTTTTTCCTTATGTCCTTATGAGTTTTAATTAAGTCTTGAATTTTGGTTTAGAGTTTGGCGTTGACATCGGTAGGAATGCAGGTTATTCTTCACCCATAAAAAAATGGGTTTGCATCTCTTCCTGCTGTAAGGAGTATATTTACTAGCTGGGTTTTACCTGTCACTTTTTTTTGGCCTTGTAGAAATAGAGATTGGCACATTGAGAAACAGAAAGCACAGCGGTTAAGAACATGGACTCTGGACATGTTAAAAACAGGGTTGAATCCTAGCTCTGCCTCTTATTAGATGTGTAATCTTACACTCTCTGACCTCAGTTTCTTCAACTGTAAAATGAAATGATAATACTAGACAACTAATAGGGTTACTGTGAAGATTAAATCAATTAATACATTTATAGAATTTAGAACAGTTCTTGGCATATAGTACATGTGGTTATATCATTGTGGCTAGGTTGTGTGTGTGTTTAGATAGAAAGCATTTGAGAAACATAGCAAGGACTTGCAACTTCTGTGTTTTAGTGTATGAATAGAAAAAGCATAAATTAGATTTTCTGGCATTTCAAATATACAGTAGCACTAAAGAAGTAGCAAGTATTTTGAATGGTTAGTGACTGATAAATAAATCTGTAATTGGTGCTGTTTTGTTTTTATTGCCTTTGTATTGTTATTTTTAAGTCACAAAAGTAACCCTTATATATATAAAAAATACAAACAACCAGAAATCCACAAAGGAAAAAATAAAATTCACTCTTTCTATGTCTCCTGGCTCCATTTTTCTAAAGGTTACTATTGTTAACAGTTTAATTTCTTCGGACACTTTTCTGGGCATACACACACACATACAGGGTTTTGAGGGTTTTTTTTAAAAATAATGGAATAATCTTATATTGTTTTACAGCTTGCTGTATTCACTAAACTGGGCATAGTAGCCTCTTTTTTTAAAAATGTCAAAACCTAAGGTCTATATTGGAGTTCTGGTGTGGTGTTGTGGGTTAATGCGCTGGACTGCAAAGTAAGTTTGAACCACAAGGCTGGTGGTTCAAACTAACTAGCTGCTCCTAGAAAATCCTGAACAGGGTTACTATGGGTTGGTTGAAACTGACTCAGTGGCACTTAACAACAAAGTTTATCTTACTCTTTTTAACAGCTACATTTTCTGTTGTAAGAATGTATTATAATTTAATCTCTTATTTTTATTTGTGAACACCTAAATTGTTGCCAAGCTCCACTTTTAAATAAAGTACAGAGAAGAATACAATTGTATTCTTTTTAAGTCCATCATATATACTTATTATTCTCAAATGGGGTTTATTATTATTCTCAAACTGGGGTTGCTTAGAATCCACATCAGTTTCACCTAAATTAAAGCTGGGGTCGATTAAGATTTGCCATCTGAATTATTGTTGAAGGCTTTTAGTTACTTCTATGGACTAACATATACTGCCTGTGGTGGTCTTCAAGTGACAAATGTTTTAGATGTCTAACTTTAGTAACTCCTGTATTTTGCATTTTCTCTGATGTACATTTTCTTGTGAATTTACTCTGGATTGCCCATGTCTAGCCGTCAGCAGCTGGACTGTCTCTGGGAACCTGTGGATAGACAGTTTTAGCTTTAAAGCGATGTAATCAAGTGTGGACTTCTTATGTGAGCATGAGTACCAGAGATGGTCTGTTTCACACAGTAAACACAACTATGTGACAGAAGGGAAACATCACATCGAATTTAAGAGAGTTGGTTTGACTTGCAAAGTTAGACTCCCTGCCTTCCTTTAAGGACCAGATAGATGTCACTGATAATATATATTATTTGATGGGATGGCTTTTTGATTTAGTAACAACTTCTTTCATGTTAGTCTAGCTCATGCTTGATATTCACTTTGTTGTTGTTTTGTTAAGTGCCATAGAGTCAGTTCTGACTCATAGTTCCTACTCATAGCTACCCAATGTAAGGTTTCTAAGGAGTGGCTGGTGAATTTGAACTTCTGATCTTACATTTCAGGGCATTATTCCACAGCACTACACCAGGACTCCCTCACTTAGGGCCCTTTTTTATTTACAGGGACGCTGATCTGCTAAGTGAAATGAATTCCGCAGCAAATGGGCCGTTTCCTCCACAGACCTGGCAAAATGCGTGGCTGATTGGTTGACTGTGTAGGACACTTAAGAAGGGTGAAAGGAGAGTCTATGGCACTAAAGACTCTATAATAATAATCAGCTTGAAGAAACTGAGGTGATGACAAATACTTGATTTGTTAAATTATAGACCTTTAGGGCTAGACAAAGGAGCCTAGATAGTTCAATGGTTAAGCATTCAGCTGCTAAGTAAAAGGTCAGTGATTGGAACCCACAAGCAATGCTGCAGGAGAAAAGGCCTGGCAATCTGCTCCCATAAAGCCTAGGAAACCCTGTGGGAGAGTTTTACTCTGTCATGAAAAGCACTCAGCTGCAAGGTCGGTTTGAACCACAAGGTTGGTGGTTCAAACTCACCAGCCGCTCATTGGAAACTTTATACAGGGTCACTTTGAGTTGGAATTGACTCAGCAACACTTAACAACAACAACAGAGGATCACTATGAGTCAGAATCAGTGCTGTGATATACAACAACAGGGCTATACAGGACTTTAGAAGCTGCTACCCCCTAATGTGTGGATTATGACAAGCTCTTGACAACATTGCGAAGATGAGTATTCCGGAACACTTAATTGTACTCATGAAGAATCTGTACCTGGACCAAGAGGCAGTTGTTTGAACAGAACATGGGAACACTGAATGTTTTAAAATCAAGAAAGGTGTGCGACAGTTTTGTATTCTTTCACCATACTTATTCAACTTGTATGCTGAGCAAATGATCCGAAAAGTTGGGTTAGTTGAAGAAAAACGTGGCATCAGGATTGGAGGAAGACTCACTAACAGCCTGCGATATGCAGATGATACAAGCTTGCTTGCTGAAAGTGAAGAAGACTTAAAATATTTACTGATGAACATCAAAGAGAACATCTTCAGTATGGATTGCATCTCAATGTAAAGAAAACAAAAATCCTCACCACTGGACCAATAAACAGCATTCTAATCAACAGAGAAAAGATTGGAGTTGTCAAGGGCTTCATTCTTCTTGGATCAACTATCAACACTCATGGAAGCAGCAGTCAAGAAGTCCAATGACATATTGCATTAGGCAAATCTGCTGCACAAGAAGATCTTTTTAAAGTGTTGAAGAGCAGAGATGTCAGCTTGAGGACTAAGGTGCTCCTGACCCCAGACCATGGTATTTTCAATAACCTCATATGCATGCAAAAACTGGACAGTGAATAAGGAAGGATGATGGTAGAAGAATTGATGCTTTTGAGTTATGGTGTTAGAGGAGAATATTGAAAGTGCCATGGGCTGCCAAAAGAACCACTAGATCTGTGTTGGAAAAAGTGCAGCCAGAATGCTCCTTGGAGGCCAGGATGGACAAACTTCGTCTCTCATACTTCGGACATGTTGTTAGGAGGAACCAGTTGCTGGAGAAGGATATCATGTTTGATAGGGTGGAGGGTCAGAGAAAAAGAGGAAGACCCCCAACGAGATGGATTGGCAAAGTGGCAGCATCAATGGACTCAAGTATGGCAACAATAAGGAGGTTGGCCCAGGATTGGGCAGTGTTTAGTTCTGCTATGCTGTACATAGGGTTGCTATGAGTCAGTACAACAACAACAACAACAACAGCCTAATGTGGTTCTATATAGGATTGCTGTTGTAAGTGCCGTCAAGTCGGTTCTGACTCATAGTGAACTTGTATAGGGTTTCTGATGAGCAGCTGATGGATTTGAACCACTGACCTTTCAATTCAAACCAACCCTGGGGTCCAGTGCTTATTTTCCAGTGCCGCACCAGGGCTCCTGTATAGAATTTCTTTTTCTATGTAGTTAACACTGACTGGTTCTAGTTCTGTACTTCCGGACCATGCCA